GCTGCACGGCGCTGACGCAGGTGGGGGCCTGCTGTGTCCCAGAGACTGAGGACAGGAGAGGGGAGGGAGGGGGGAGGTGCGCCCTCGCTGCCACCTGGCGCTGCTCTGTGACAGTCATTACCTCGGTGAGGACAGCGCGGCTGGCGAGGAGAGTGTTCATGTCAGAAGAGAAAGTCCCACTGTCGGTTTCCTTCAAGTCAAGAGAATTTTATATGGCTCACTTCCTATTTTATTTTTAATAAAAATGTAAATTATTGGCAAGGTCTATAATAAGCATATGCCATATAGACGGCTGAGAGAGGGGTGTCTGCGGACTGTCACTCACTGGGTAAGGTGGAAGTTCTGCACGCTGAGCGCCTGGCCAGGAAACCGACTACACGCTCATCCATGTGCCCTCTTGATCTCAACTCGGACCCACCGAGCTGGTCACCCCTGCTGTCCTCTTATGGCCAGAACGTGGAACAGTATTACCCCCCTCTCTCAAAACAGTCATGCCATGTACTGCACCTCTTTCTTACCCTGATAGAGTCCACCGTGGGTAGTCTGGTGGCCCCCCCCCCCGTCTCTCTCTCTCTCTCTCACACACACACACCTTTAATTATGTTCTCCTTTATCTCTGTCTTTAAATGTTGTTCTTTTTCCCTAATTAAAATCTCTTCCCTTCAGCCTCTTTTCATATCATTTATGAGCCAAAAAATATCTGATCATAACATAATGTCACTGTTTATGTTCCAAGAAGAAGGAAATTGATTGGTTTTGTTATTAAATTGGTCACAGTAAAGAGCTAGTGTAAATCTCGTCACACTTATCTTGAAGAAGGGGACCAGAGCTTAGTGGGGAGGAGGCTTGACTTCCCATTCTCCACAGTTTTAATGGCTTGGCTTTTTTTTTTTTTTTTTACATTACATATATATTATTTTCGTAATCTTTTCTGTTGTGTTTTTTAAATGATTATGTGTTGGTAGGATCTATCAGAACGGTGTCGTTCAGTTACAAGTATACAACATTACAGTTATTTTGTGGGATAAAATAAGTTCTGTGGGCCAGCCTAAGTGTCTGACCACTATAATAAGATCATCGTCCTTTTCCAGTTCCATATGGAGTAACTGGCTTATAATGAACTTCCGGATTATACCGTTTGTAAACGTTAAAAAAAGTATTGATTAAAATCCACCAACGTTCATATTTCAGTATGGAGACCATACGGAGAGCCGAGTTTCCACACAGGAAGTCAGGTGGTAGGGAAGGCATGTGCGCGTGTCCGTTTCCTGGTCCTCAACTCTGCGGGCAGATGGTCATCTCCCCTGTGCGGCACCCTACACAGTTCGTCCAGTGTGATGCACCCCATGTAGTAGGCAGAGACCACAGAAAGCAAATGTGACATATGTACCTCATGTAGTACAGAGTGAGCAGTCATTACACTTTATACAGTGTGCTCTATGCGTAATAGTTAGAAAACACACTGACTCTCTCACACACTGACACACACTCACACTGACATACTCATACCCACTGACACACTCACATACACTCACACTGACACACATACATACCACTGACACACTCACATACACATTGACACACACCCAGTGGCATTCATACACTGACACACACTCAAACCGACATACACACCCACTGATACACTCACATACACACTGACACACCCACTGACACTCTCACATACACACTGACACACACACTCACATCGACATACACACCCACTGATACACTCACACACTGACATACTCATACACACTGACACACACCTACTGACATACATATGTATGCACTGACACACGTTGACATACACATACACACCCACTGACAGACACTCACACTCACACTGACACATATACACCCACTCACATTCACACCTACTGACACACATATACATGCACTAACAGACTCACACTGACACACATACACATGCACACACAGTGACACACACACACTCATGTAAACACACACGCACAGTGACACAGTCCCTGCAGGGATGGGGAGGGGCTGGTGACCGGAGTTTATGTGAGCCCCCCAGCCTCCGTTTCTCCCATGAGCAGCAGTTTTGTTTTTAGGAGCAAAACTGCATTGCTCACCACACAGCAACTGATGAGGAGTAGTTCTTATATCTTATGAATAGTTGTTCTCAGGTCTTACTTTTAAAGAAAGTAAAGGACCTAAATTCAGGTTTGCAGTTTGCAGCCTGTGCTTCTGTCATTAAGAAACAGTGAGATAACAGAGGAAATGTTTACCCCCATCCCATAGGCATTAGCTGTGTTTTTCAAAACATTCTGTTTTAAAGCACAATGGACTTTGCAGTTGTTTATAAATTTAAGGTATTCATCAGTGTGAAATAGTTGTTTATTTCCGTTCCCTATTTCCTCTTATTGGGGGAAAAAACATGTTTGGTCTCCTAGCAAGACACGCTCCACTTCGCTAAGTTATTTGTCAGTTGTTACAAAGTGTGTTTAATATCTGGGCGAGGTTTGGACGGGCTGTGGGCTAAGCGGGCAGTGTGACACCTCTGTAGGTCGCCTGGGGTCTGGTGCGCCGGCTCAGGATCCTCCTATCCGGTCTCACCGCAGAGCCGTTGCCGTCCATTCATATGGCCCTGGCTCATTCACAAGTCTGACACTTCCCTTCCCGGCAGACTAGAGTGGCATCTTCTGATAAGATGCAAAACAGCTTCTTTACTCCCGAGGTGACACTAACCACTCACAGGCTGAAATGCTCTTCATCTGCCCTGAAGTTAACCAGAAACTTGGTCTTACTTTTCTTCTTGACAAGTTTTCTTAAAAGCTTAAAGGTCTCTCGCTCACTCTCTTTCTCTCCCTCTCTCTCTTTGTTGGTATTGGTCAGGGAGAGAAAGGGAATATGGAAACAAAAAATACCTAAACAGCCCTAAAGGAAATATGGGAAACAATGAAAAACACAATGTGCTGTTTCGTTCTGTGATAATCTCTCGGTGGGTGCTCGAGTGTGGTGTTGATCCTTGACCCGGGAGCTTATCTGTCACCCATGATGGGTGTTCGCTCCCTCGTGGGAAGAGCTGTGCTTGTTATCACAGGTGAGAAAACAAGGAGAAAACAAGCAGAAAGTTTGTGTGCAGCCTTTGCAGTGGGACCGTGTTTGCTCTTTGGCTTCCACCCCAGACCAGCCTGCAGACCGAGGGCGAGCACAGACTGACTTTCTCAGGTGCACGTCACCCAGGGCGGCCCGGGCAGCAGGTGCCGAGCCGGCGAAAAGATAAACATTAAGTCATTCCAGGCGATGTTTCGCTAGGTAGCTCAGGAAGGACTTGAGAACTACCACTGTTCAAATATTTACGAATTGAACCTGGGAAGGAGAAAATGGAGGGCACATAATGTGGAATTCCTGTCCCTGTCCTCTCTAAGCAGAGTCTCGGAGACCCCGGAGGACGTTGTGTTTATCTGAGGAAGAAATAGTTCTGCTCTGGAGTCCAGTCGGCCCGTGTGGGCTTCATGAGCAAATAGGATGTAGCAAGTTCTGCACTTGGCAACATGTCCTCTTAGCTTCTGGACTGTTGATCCTAAGGGATGACTTAGCAGCTGGGCAGACTGCAGTGTTCACCGGCGCAGAGGCTGACTGCTCCCTGCCCTGCCCGCGCGGCCACCGAGGGGGGGTGGGGGGGCAGATCAGATGAGGAGCAGAGTGGAGCCTCGGAGAGCAGAGGTTGGGGACTTGGGTTTGTCTCCCAAATATTCGAGCCTGTGTTGCTGCATACTCTTTAAGTTTAATGTTGTTTACACCTCTGTGCGTCTGAGAAGATTTAAAAAGCACAGAGCACAGGGACCGTCTCAGGAACAGAGAAACTGCCTGGACCAGGACCCAGGAGGGCAGTGCTCCGGGAGGTATTGCTAATGAGCGTTAAGGGAGGGCGGCTTTCTGGTGGGGTTTGTGCTTGTCCTTTGATTTGCCGCCGGCCCTCTTGCTGCCCTGGAGGCTGAGCGCACCCATTCATTCAGGCGCAGGCTCAGCTGATGGCTCAGCCCTTCCTCTCTGCAGGCCGGAGCTAATGAGAAACACAGACCAGGGGCCCAGATCTGCCCCGAGATTAAGGGCAAGGTATCCTCACAGAAAGTTCCTGTGAACTGAAAGATCGGGTGACACTTTTCTGGGGCAAAGTTGTGAATGAGGCGGACGGCTTGGGAGTTCCTGTGCGGCTCCGTGGTCACATCCTCTGCCCGTGAGCTCACAGTGGAGTCGTCACAACACTAGGGACCAGTCCACGAGTGTCAGGACTCATTCACAGCTCCTCGAGCACACACAGTCCACGTAAAGGCAAATGCCAGGGGGACCGGGGTTTGCATGACCAGCTCCCAGGTTTACAGTCGTGACCACCTCGGCACAGCGTAAGTGCGGGAGTCTGGCCCTGCGCCCTGTCCCACATGGGTCACCTCCAGAGCCAGCGCTGTCTCCTCCGAAGGGTCTGCCGAGCTGCACCCCCACCCCACCCCCACCCTTTACAGATGACAGCCCCATGGGGTAAAGCCCTGGCATTCTGAGAAACACACCGTCCGCTGTATTTAATTTCCTCTCATTTACTAAGAGTCACCGTCTGTTTTAGTAAATACCTTCAGGAAATTGGTGAAGCACTTTCCTCCATCCGTTATGTATCAGCAATTAACATGATTGTCACGTTTTTCCTGGCCCGTGGCTGCCGCCCTGGCTCCCCTCACATGCCTGCCACCGGCTCCTCACACGCCCGGCGGTGGCTGCCACTGAGCTTGAACGACCTAGCAGAGCAGCCCACAGGGCTCCCCCGTTATCCATCCTGAGTCCTCACCGCGCAGCTCCTCTCCGGACTCCGGCATTCTTCCCAGACAGCCCTTCCCCCTCTTCAGCCAGGACTGCTTTACCCCACATAGGAGCCGAGAAATCCTAGCTCCTTAGAGGTATCTCCAGCCTCTCTCCCCTGCCCCCCGCCCCCCGGGTGGTTAAGACGGCGCGTCTGGCCGAGCCCCAGCAGACTGGTTTCCTACCTTCATCAGCCACTGGGTGTTGTTTTCCATGATGTCCTCCAGCACCTGCAGCCTCTGCACCGAGTCGTCGTAGTCGAGGGGCGCGTCCCTCTGCACGGCGTTGGACACGTAGGAGCTGGAGGGCGAGCGGCAGTTGTCAGTCTCGGGCAGCAGGAACGTGTAGCTGCAGGCGCCGTGCTGGACCTGGTACTGCCTCCTCCCGACACTGTCCATGCCCCTCCGATAGGCTGCAGCCGGGACGAGGTCCCAGCTCAGGGTAAAGAAAACAATCTGCCACATTCTTTCTTCTTCCTTCGGGTAACAGCCCAGCAGCTCAGTAATCTCCAAGGCACATGGGACCCGGGTCCTAAGCTGCCCTCTCCGGCGCAGGGCTCAGCTGCACGGCTTAGGGTCCATCCGTGGGAGCCTGTCTCCTGCTCCCCCAGCAGCAGACGGGGAGCCCCGGGCAGCTGTCAGAGCGTGGCAGGGAGTGTGACCCCGCAGATGGGGAGGGCTGTGTCCGCCGGCAGACCAGTGTCTGCTTCTTTGTCTCTCTGCCCCCAGACTCTGCCTGTCAGGATCCGAATCAGTCCCTCTCCGTTCCTTATATGATAAGTTGATAAGAGCAGCCAGACATGTGTGGCAAGCTGCTCCGCCCTCCTGGCTTGTCCGTTATCTTCCTGTAGGGGGTCAGCAGCCAGGCAACAGGAAAAACCCCAGCCCGCTGCGTGCCTTCCCGCGCCGTGTGCCGCAGGGGCCCTCTGGGAACCAGCTCACAGGACCCCTGGGCATTCCAGAGGCACCACCCTCACGGGGCATTTCCTAGGGAGCGGGGTCTGGTCTGAAAGGCATCTGACGGCGGGCGCGCAGCTGGTGAGGGGCTGAGGCAATAGCTTGAGTACAATGACGGTTCCTGTTTTCTCCTTGAGGACTCGAAATACTACAAATATGTCAGGACTCTGGTTTATTGTTGTTATTACAAACAAAGCGGAAGAAGCTCTTGTAAACCGCCTCTGCAGAGGGAAGACGTCCGGGGGGACTGGTGCTGGGCTGCTGGCTGGGGCAAGCTTTTCGTGTCAGACGGCTGGTGGGTGGACTGCTCTGCCCCACCCTGCGGGGGACGGTCGGTCCTGAGCCCCGACATCCGATCTCCCAGCAGAGTATCCACTTTAACAGTCAGAGTGACCCTGACTGATGGATGGGCTGATGGACAGTTCAGTGACTTCCAGTTGACAGGGGTCAGAACTTCGTAAGAGGCTGCTGAGAGAGGAGCATGTAAATCTCCCCTTGACTGGATCCGGTGTGCTCGGACCCATCATTTTGTAGCGTTTTCCAGGGGCAGTTAAACCTGTCCTCATTCCGAGCTGCACTTGGGCAGATTATCTCCCCTTTTTAATTGGGCACTGATGTCCTCATCTGTAAAAGTCAGGAGCCGCATTAACCACCAGGACTTCCCTGCTCAGGTCCATGGCTCTGTGGTCCTCCAGTTACTTCCTTACTGACTGAACCTGCTCACCCCCAGCCGAGAGCACACGGGGAAACCCAGCCTGTCCACATCTCCGTGCAGGCGTGTCCCTCACCCCGGGTAACCGTCTGGCGGTGACCTCGTGGACCACATCCACCCGTGAGAGCCCATGTTGCTCTGTGTCCTGCAACACCAGCTTCTGCGTGCGCATGACAGAGAGGCCACACACGACACCTGGCAGGTCAGGGAGGCCAGCACAGCCGCCTCACAAACACAGTGACCAAAGGGGCCACACAGGAGGTCTGAACACGCAAATTCCTGATGAAAAGTAGGTCATGGCGGTAGTCCTGTCCAGAGGTCAGTCTTTACGTAAATGACCTTTTGTACCTAAGACAGCATGCCTCTGAAATGTCAGAGCGATCTTCTTATCCTGACCCTCGGGCAGGGCTCATCCCCTGCCGCAGAGGACCACGGGTCTCCTGGTTCCGCCCTCTCCGAGTACCATCCCTGTGTGCTGTAAGTGTTCCGTATCAACTGTGCTGGACCCACCATTGTAGGAGAAGCATTTGTCTGTCCATTTTACTTTCTGTCCAACCCCAGAGACTTCCCTGCTTTGCTTTCTGCCGCCTCCCTGGTCTACCACCGATTTCACGTGACCCTTCCACCGGCTCCGGTCGCAGTGTGCAAACTGCCGTGCGAAACGGCCGTTTTAGAGCATTTTCTCAGTCCGTTGAGGTTTTGCTTCCTGACCATTGTCAGTTTGGTCCAAATAAACTCGTAGAAATTCTCCACAGGTTTGGACTGCTTACATCCACACAAGGGGGTACAGGAGCACGGGTTTAATTGTTGGGTGAGTGTGGAATTTGTGTAGTGAGTTCACTTCTTCTGGAATGTGTTTTCAGGAGACGTCATTAGACCTGTAAGAACATCCCTCCTACGCACGGGGTGGCTGCTAGGCGGCCTCTGGAGCTGGGTTCATACCCTGAGGTCCACGTACTTCGAAGGGAGGGGAAGAAGTCAGTACTTCTCACCAAGTGTCACCTTCTGAGGAGCTGGACCTTCACCAGGCTCCCAGAGGCTTCCTTCCGTCCCCAGGAAGGCCGGACATGTGCTCCAGAGGGTCATGGGCCGGACAGGCAGTCTGAGTCCCGCACAGTGCTGGGCCCGTACGTGGTTCCCACGAAGCGCACACGTGGAAGAAAATGCTCCCGTTCGAACCCTGGTTCTGTGAGATCTGAAGCGAATGCTTCACTTCTCCAGGCCTCCGTTTCCCTGCTTGTGAGATGATTCTTCCTCCGTAGTGCCTTTCGGATGACGATAACACAGAATGAAGAATAGGAACATTCGCTTCCCTTCCTGACCGGCACTTTCTGGAAGATGGAACTCGGTTCTTCCACCATCGACTATGGTAACCGTGTCATCCTCTGCACGTGAAGTGGAAACTGAGGGTGCAGAGTTTTTCTTCTACGGTTATTCCCCATTTGCAAAAGCCCTGTTATAGGGTCCTGATGTTGTAACTGCTGTAGAAACATTTCTCGGCCCTGCAGACAGTAGGGTGCTTCGGAGAGAGGGTGTCACGAGTCCCCCCACCCACCAGTCTGCGCCGGACACGTTCCGGGGCCCTGGGGACGGAGATGAGTGTGCCCAGTGCAGCCAGCGAGGAGGGCGAGCCATCAGCTCGTGGGTGGGACCTGAGGAGGGCAGCGCGGCCACCAGGCCACAGCCTGGACGCTGGCCTCACCTGCCCCTCAAGGTCAGATGTGCCATGAACAGCCTTCAGGTCCCCAGCGGGAGTGTCCGCCGAGAGGGGGAAGCTCTAGTTGGACCGGGCACCAGCATACTGCTGTGAAGGGTCAGCTACTGAGCGTGTTATGCTCTGCCAACCATGTGGACACTGAAATGGCAATTTCTTCTCATTTTCACATGTCATTAAATATTCTTTTCTGGGTTTTTTCAACCATGTAAAAATGTCCAAACCATTCGTACCTTGCTGGCCATTCAAAACAGACTGTGGGCTGCAGTCTGGTTAACCTCAGAAGCCTGCGGGGTGCGTGGCGTGGTTGCAAGGCCCCTCTTAGTGCACAGCGGTGTGGACGGCTGTCTCCTGTGCCCCCGGTCACGGCATGGCTCCTTAGGGAACTGAGAAGCGCGGGCCATGCTGGGAACAGGAACCTGTGACGGAGCAGGAGCATTTGCCAAGAAAGTGCCACCCGGAAGCTGGGTCTGAAATGCAAAGCAGAGCCCAGCCGGTGTGGCCCAGTGGCTGGAGCTTAGTCTCGTGGACTGAGAGGTCCCAGTTCAGTTCCCGGTCAGGGCACGTGCCTGGCTTGTGGGCTCGATCCCCAGTGGGGGGTTTGCAGGAGGCAGCCAATAAATGTTCTCCCTCATCGATGTTTCTCTCTCTCCCTCTCTCTCTAAAAAATCAATAAAAACATATTTAAATAAAATAAAATGCAAAGCAAAGAGGATGCAATGACCCCCGTGGGAAAGGCGTGTTTTGCTCGTTCAGAGCAAGGCCCGGGTAGCACGGTGGCCGAGCTGCCCACTGGCCGATGGTCACTGAGGGAGGCCAGCCCCCTGAGCCCCAGCCCCTAGGTGGAGGCAGGACCCGCAGGGGGCAGGCTGGGATTGTGCGGGTGGTCAGCTTTGACCCGAGGGCCAGCCATCAACCCAGGCAGAGCCCGCAGCCAGGCGAGGCCGCCGCTCTCTGCTCCCTCGAGGAGCTGCCCGCAGCTCTCAGAAAGGCCCCTTTTCCCTGGGAGTCTTGGGTGTTCTCCAGCGACAGGCTTGCCCATGGCGGCTGAAGCTCAGAGCTGCCCAGCGCCGCCTGCCCGCCCAGCGGGTTTTCTAGCAGCTGCAGTGGCTCTACTTACTTTTCTTGCTGCTTTGTTTTCCCCAATACTGTACGTCAGCGGCTGGGGTCGCAGGGTCTTCACTGATTCTCTGCGGAGCTGTCTGGGTCCTTACACTTTGTTGTTCGAGGTCGGTCCTGTTCGAGGGGACCAAAAGGACCAGGCTTCCCTGTTCCCTGAGGAAGGAGGTCAACACCAGGAAGAAGTCTGCCTCGGTTTGCCCTGCTGAGCAACAGCCCTCATGTGGGGAAAGCCACAGGCCCTCTGCTGGCTGCCGCCTGCCCTCCAGGGACATGGTCCGGGGGCTGTGAATCCTCTTTTATCTGGATCGGGAACGGATGGGCCGCCGCCTTCGGGGGGCTGGGGCCCGTCGTCCGGGGCAGTCAGTGGGCTCGAAGACGCTCACCCCCGGCTGACACGTGTCTCGGGGAGCCAGCATCCAAGAGGTGCCCACTTTAAGTCTGCAAAGCCCCGGGTGGCCAAGTAGAGTTTCTGAGTGGGCCCACGTGACCTCGGTGTTGTCCCAGGAGCCAGTCAAATATTCGGTCTTTAATTGGATGGATACATTGTTGGACAGATCGAGGGACGGGTCACCTGGCCCAGGGAGGGGGTATTGCTTTCGAACTGTTACACCGCAGTGCACATGACAGTTGTGTGCTTTGGGAAAACTCACACCTCGGAAAGTATGGGAAGTACTCAGGCTCAGAGGGTGTGTCCTGTGTGCTGCACGTTTGTGCTGAGTCTCTTTCCATCGCCGAAAAGACCCCGGGACTGCCTCGCGCCTGCACGGCCCCGTCCCCCAGCACCGTCTCCACGTTCTCATCACCTCTCCGCTGCGGGCGGCCTGGGACGTGGTGCCCGGGCAGCCTCGAGTGGCCGCGCGGCCTTGACTCCGGGAAAGTGCCGCGTGGCTGGAGGAGGCTCTCAGTGCTGCAACACCCGAGAAGCCAGGCTGGGGACCGTGCTTCAGCATTTGGCCCTTTGCCCACGGCCAGGCACACTCAGGACTAGGGCACCTGGTGTGCTGGAGCCAGCAGGCCTGCTGAGACATCCTGTCCTCGTCCTTCCCTGCCCCCGGCCTTTTCACAGCCAGCTGAACAAAGTCAGTCATCGTGTTTACGTGCAGACGCCTGTTCAGAGTGCAGGGGAAGCCATTTGCGTTCACTGCACATAAAATTGTTAGAGGAAAGGTCGTTTTTACTTGCTTGTGTGTGTGCAGTGATGAACGAGGGAGAAGGGAGACACAGCTGAAGAAAGACTTCAGCTCTCCCAGAGCAGGCTCCTGCCCAGGCAGCTCCCTTACAAGGGCCACCGGAGAGGTGTCCACATGTCCACTGCGTTTCCAGGTGCGCTGTGCTGGGCGGAGCCTGAAGACGCGCGGACGGAGTCACAGCCACCTTGCGAACACTAGTGCCGCCTTGCTCCAGAGATGCTGATCGGGACCTGCTGTCCAGCCCCGAGTGCCAGGCTGGGAGAGGTGGTTTCCAGCCATGGGACCTGAGAAAAGTCCCAAAGGAAAAGCCCCTCGGAGTTACCACAAAGACAGA